CGAGCCCGGCCTACTGGCAGAACTGGGGGAGAGGCAGCCCCCCGATCTGCAGCCTTGGGACTTGGACACACACATGCATTCACACGAGATCAGCAGGGTCTGCTCAGATAGGCTCTTTGTAGAGAAAGGCTCCATTTGTCACATCCACTTTCCCAGGTTCTCTTTACCGTTAAAGACCCCAAACGGGATTGATACTGTACTTGGAAAAGGGGGAAATTATTCTTGAGTAATAAATTGGAATGGAAAGCAAAATGGAAACTACGGTGGTTGTTCAACACAAAAATGGGTTATTTTATCAAAGAGCTGTTGTCAAGTCAGCTGTGTTTTCTCACAAAATCCTCAGGTTGCCCAGCAGGAAACGCGATGCCCACGAGCAGTTCGCCAAGCGATGTGATTGTCACAGTCTGGCCTGAGGCCTCGAACTCTGGAAGGGAGACCAGGGCGGCTGTGAAGGAGGAGTGTGGCGCCCTCTGGCGAGAGCAGAGCAGAGCGCCCAGAGGGGCTTCCAGCACCTGCCTGCTGCGGGCTTCAGCCTCCACCTCCTGTTGCCTAACACCTTCCCACCCCTGTGCAAAGACCGAGCCTCATCGCTCCACCGAAGGCCCTTCGGAGCGGCACCTTCAGGCAACGTGGAGCTGATGTGGTTCAATCCCAGAAGATCTGATTTAGATTTTGGCCAAGTGAGGAGGGGGATGTTGATCCCGGTAGGAGGTGCACAGACCCGTGATGGGCTGGATTACGGAAAGCCACGCGGCTGCAGGGACTCAGGCCTGTGGTCCCCGATGCTGCCCGCAGGTCCCGGGGAAGGAGGCTGCGACCCGGTCCTAGCCGGCCACGGCTGCCGCGGCCCGGGCTTCCCTCCAGGGTAGGCACTGGGCTGACATCAGAAACCTGCAAGCTGAGCCAGGCGTCTCTGTCCACCTGGCATTAAAGTATTTGTCAGATATGATTATAGAGCCCTAAGAAGATTAGAAACAAATGCCGCACGCTTGTAAAAGGGCATGGTCTCAGAACAACTCAACACCAGGACTCTGGGTCAAGCGAAAAAGTTTGAGAAAGGCCAAAGAAGATGGACTCGGTCCTTTCCAGGCCCGGACTTGCAGCCCAGAGGAAGTGAGAGGGAGTGCGTTCTGGACGCGGCCCCGGTGCTGTGAGAACCTCTGCAGGCCTAGCTTTACGTGCCTGCTGCTTCCAGGTCCCAAACGGAGATTCCTTCCAGCGCCGGATGACTTGATACTTCCCATAAATAACATCTGTGTCTGCGCAGCGTTGATAAGGGGCGCTCTGGGCGCGAACCCAGGGTCACTGGGGATCCAAGAGGAATTTCTCTCTCCGCCATATGTGTTACTCATGCGGTGGGCTCCTTCCCAGCACTCTCAGACTCCTGGGAGGGATGAGCCACAGGCTCCGCTGGAATTAGGCAAGAAGGACTTTGATGCACCCTGACACCTGGAGGGGGACCACCCCTCGCCCCTGTCCTCCAGGGGGCCTGAAGGGTCTTGAGCTGGGCTCTCGGGAGGCCCAGCAGGGACCCCAAGAAAGAAATTCAGAAGATTCCCTCGTGATGTCATTAATTCCACTAGGGAAGAGCGGGAGGTTGCATACACTCTCTGGCCTCAACACGCCGGATTTTAAATAGATTTCTTTTGCTGAAGTCCAAGAACACCCATGATCAAACTTGAACAGGTCCTTGTGTTTTCACTGGAGCAGAGAAGTAAGCGCTTTCTTCGATTCAGAGTCTTGGGGGGGGTGTCGAGAGCGTCTGTCCCCAAGCAGTGGTGTGGCGCTGGGGGGAGACTTCGCAGAGGGTCCCGTTCCCAGGCGTTCACCCTCGCAATGCCCGCACCCCAGTCTCTGCTTCCTTAGTCTTACTTTTGAGGCATATGTGTGTTGTTTTTTATCGAGATATAATTTGCAGACCATAGAATTCGCCCTTTGAAGGCATACCGTGCCGTGGGTTGTAGTGTATTCAGAGCTGCACATCTGTCACCTCAATTTGCTTGGGGACGTTCTGGTGATCTAAAAGAACCCCAGAAACCCTGCGCCCTCCAGCCCTGGGAGATCATGAATCTATGTTCTCTATGAATTTGCCTCTTCTGGACATTTCATATAAATGGAATCATACAACACATCGTCTTTTTTGTCCAGCTTCCTTCCCTTAACATGATGTTTTCAAGGTTCATCCATGCTATGGAGTGGATCAGTATATCATTCCTTTCTATGATTAATTTTCCATTGTGTGGCTATACCATATTTTATTTATCCATTCACCAGTTTATGGTCATTTGAGTTATTTCTGGTTGGTTTTTGTGGGGGTATTTTTGTTATTATGAATATCGCTGCTGTAAACATTCATGAACACAATTTTGTTTACATGCAGGTTGTCATTTCTCTTGGGCGGCTCCCGGGCCATGGGGTGGCTGGATTTTGTGGGAACCCCGTGTTGAACCTTTCCAGGGGCTGCAAACCATTTTCCGTCCCTATTCACTTTGCCGGGGTCCTGAGGATTGGTCAGTCACATTCGACAAAACAACTGCAGCATCATTGATCTTTCCAGAAAGATTCTAAACAAATATTAGAGTTAAATCCCCATTTTACCTGAGAAAGTTGACCAACCAGCTGCTTTGGTTAAGATGAAATGAATGATAATAATTTTTTAAATCCGATTTTGTTTTAACTTTTGTGGAGAAGCCTTCCAGTTGGCATTAACATGTTACAGCTGCGCACTTCAGACAGCAGGGAGCGGGGAGATCGTCTGGCTCCTCTTGGCTGTCGGCATGAGTGGTCTTCAGGGCTAATTCCACCATCCAATGACAGTGACTCAGAGACAGGTGCAGGTCGCCTGGGCCCAGGTACCCCAGATCCCCAGGGGAACAACGTCTACACCGCCCGCCTTCCTGGGCCAGGTGCTAGTACAGGAGAGAGTCAGACAAAGGAGACAAAAGTTGGCTTTGCAGGTAGCAGAGGGACGAGAGGAAACAGCAGTGTGGTATTCGGGGGGTGGGAGCGCTGCTTCAGGTGGGGCGGCCAGGGAGCGCTCTCTGAGAAACGCACCCCTTCTTATGCTGCGACAAGTTCGCATGCGCTCACCAGTTTACAACAGCGCCCACTTAGTAGCTCCCGGCTCTGCAAGTCAGCAGTCGGGGCGGGTTCACTGGGCCCGTGCGCAGGGTCCCGCCGCCGAGGCACTACCAGCCGGCGTCTTACCTGGAAGCTTCCAGAAAGAATCCACCTCCACGTTCACTCTAGCCAGTCACAGAAAGCAGGTCTAGGACAGTCGGTCTACTTGGGCCGCTATAACAGAATGCCGCAGCCTGGGCAGCTTTAAAACTCACTTCCCACCGTTCTGGAGTCTGAGAATTCCAAGGCCAAGGTGCCAGCAGATTCGGCGGCTGGTGAGAAGCCGTTTGCTGGTTCATAGATGGCCATCACCTCACTGTGTCCACAGGTGGCGGAAGGGGCGAGAGAACTCTCGGGGGTCTCTCTTATAGGCACTAAACCCAATCATGATCTAATCACCCCCTAATGCCCCACCCCTAACACCATCACAGTGGTGGGGGCTAGTTCTCAACCTATGAATCTGTGGAGGGTGGGGCACAAACATGGAGTCTCAGTGCACGGAGGTGACTGAGGCCCCTGCCGTCTTGCTGGCTGTCAGCTAAGGGGTTCCCTTGACAACTTGGGGGCCCTCTGTTCCTTCTCACATGGTCCCTCCACCTTCAAAGCAGCAGTGGTACATCGGGTCCTTCCCGCTCTGCATCTCTCAACTCCATCTGCCACCAGCTGGAGAAAGCTCTCTGTTTTTAAGAGCTCATGTCTTCCTCTCTTAAGGTCAACAGTCTCGTACAAGATAACACAACCACCAGAGTGACACATCATAGATCACAGGTTGACAAGGCTACGGGAAAGCAAGTGACAGGAAAGAACCGTTCACCACAGGCTCCCCGTGGGCATCTGTGGGCAGGATGGTGCTGGAAGGGTAGCAGGCCCAGGACGCTTGGGGAAGGCTTCTTTCTAGAACTGAACCCCTGCAATGGCTTTTTTAAAGATACCATGTGTAATTGACATGCAATAAACAGCACCCGTTTCAAGTACACAGTTTGATAACTTTGGGCATATGTACACATTCGTGAAAACGTCTCCACAGTGAAGGTAATGAGCATACCCACCGCTCCCCGACGTTTCCTGGGGCGCATCGTCGCTCCCCGCCACCCCCTGCTCCCCCGCCCCCAGGCAGCACTCTTCCTGCTTCCTGGCACCGTGGATTAGCTGACAGGCCTTTACATAAATGTGACCACATAGTATTGTAATGGGATAAACTGTGTCCCTCCCAAAATTCATACATCAAAGTCCTAACCCCCAATGCCTCAGAATGTGACTGTATTTGGAGACAGAGCTTTTTAAAAGAGGTAATTAGGTTAAAATAACATCATTAGGCTCAGCCTTATAAGAAGAGAGTAGGACACACACATGCAGAGCGATACCACGTGAAGATACCAGCCGAAGATCCACCTACAAGCCGAGGAAAGAGGCCTCGAGGGGAAGTAGACCTGCCAACAACCTGATCTCGGACTCAGCCCCCAGGACTGCGAGAAAACAAACCCCCGCTGTTTAAGCCCCGAGCCTGCGGTGCTTGTTACAGCAGCCGAGCAAACTAGTGCAAGTATGTCCTTTTTCGGCTTTTGTCTGCCTTATTTTGTTCAACATATACTTATTTTGAGACATATATGTTATCTCCAGACATTTATATGTTATTGCAAGAAATAGTCCATTTCTTTTTCTTGCTGAGTGATATTCCATTGCATGGATATACCACCATGTATTTATCTATTCACCTGCTGATGGGCACTTGGGTTGTTCCCAGTTTTTCTTTGTATAACTAGTGCTCCCATGAACATTCATATACAAGTCTTTGTGTGAATATGTATTTCCTTTTCTTTGGGGTAAACATTGAGGAGGAGAGTGGCTGAGTCATATGGCAGTTGTATGTTTAATTTTTTTTAAATATGGAACACTTCACGGATCTGTGTGTCACCTTGCTCAGGGCACGCGCTAATCTCTGTATCCTTCCAATTCTAGCCTATGTGCTGCCAAGCCAAGCGCTATGCTTAACTTTTTTAAAAGCTGCCAAACTGTTTTCCAAAGTGGTTGTACTATTTTACATTCCCACCAGCGATATATGAGAGTTCCAGTTGCTCCACATCTCTGCCAACACTTGGCCTGGTCAGTCTTTTTCATTTTCATCATGCTAATAGGTATGTAGCAATATCTCATTGTGGTTTTAATTTGCATTTCCCTAATGACTAATGAAGCATTTTCTCATATGTTTATTGGCCATCCAAAAAGGAACATATAGCTTATTAAATAAAATAAGCATCTGTTCAAATATTTGGCCCATTTTTTAAAATGGGCTTTCTTATTAACTTTTCAGAGTTCTTTATATTTTTTTAATACAACCCCTTTATCAGATATATGATTTGTAAATATTTTATAACAGCCTGTGGCTTGTCTTCAGTCTCTTAACAGTGTGTTTCAAAAACAAACCAGAAGTTTTTCATTTGAATTAAGTCCAATTTATATCAAGTTGTTCTTTTATGGACCATACTCTGGGTGCCATTTCTAGGAAATCTTTGTCTGACCCAATGCTACAGAGTTTTCTCCTAAAAGTTTTATATTATTACATTTTACATTTAAGTCTGTTTGGGGTTAATATTTTTATATGATGCAAGGTATGGATGGATTGAGGTTTTTTTTTTGTTTTTTTTTTGCATATGGATATTCAGTTGTTCCAGAACATTTGTTGAAATGACTATTCTTTTTCCACTGAATTGCCTTTGAACCTTTGTTGAAAATCTGTTGTCCATATTTGTGTGGGTCTATTTCTGGGCTCTCTACTCTGTTCCATTGATCTATTTGTCTGTCTTTACGCCAGTACCACACTGTCTTGATTACGTAGCCTTATAAGTCTTGAAATTAGGGAGCGTGAGACTTCCTCCTCCTTTGCTCTTCGTTTTCAATGTTGTTTGGCTATTCCATGTCCTTTACATTTTTTCATTTAGCTTCAGAATCAGTTTGTCAATTTCTATCCAAAAGAAGCCTGCTGAAATTTTGCCTGGGATTGCATAAAATCTATAGTTCAAGTTGGGGTAATTGACACCTTAACAGTATATTTTTAAATTGAGGTGCAATTCACATACCATAACATTCACTATTTTAAAGTGGACTATTCAGTGGTTTCTGGGACATTCACAAGGTTGTATGGCCGTCAGCACTATCAAATCCCAGAACATTTTCATCACCTCAAAAAGAAACCCTGTACCCATTAGCAGTTACCCCACGCCCCCTTCCCCCAGCCCTGGCACCCACGCATCTCCTTCCTGTCTCTGCGGATTCGCCTGCTCTGGACATTTCCCATCAATGCAATCATACGTCAGGAGGCCTTTTGTGTCTGGCTTCTTTCACTTACCATGACGGTCACCAGGTCACAGCCGACATCTTAAAAAGCATCGCATCCATAGCACCTAAATAAATGGATAAATATGCAGGCCTGAGACACTTTGCAGAAATTGCTTTTAGGATTCAGCCCCTGAAATCCGCTTTTCAAATAGATACATATATATTTGCTTATTCTTCCTCAAAGTAAACCCTATCACTAATTTCCAAATAAATGAGGGGACGGAGTTGGGGAGGGGACAGCTGGCTGGAGTTCGGGAAGCCCCTGCAGTTCAGGACCGGCGGGTCACCTAGAAATCCTGCAGCCACGGGGCTGCAGGCCAGTGGCCCAGAGGCCAGCGCGGCAGCCGGACATGTTGGTGTGGTCTCTGCGAGCTGTCATACGGGAGCCATATGGACAACATGTCCATACAGGAGCCGACGTTTCAGAATTTGGTAGTTTTCGCAAAAACGTCTTTACAAAATCAGATGTCTGGCAGGCCTGGGCTCACATCCCACCTGGCGGCGGTGGGCTGGTTGAGGAACGGGGCCTCTTGTCCAGGTGTCCTTGGGCCCCACCACCCCACGGGCCGTGCCTCATACCTATCCCTTGCTGCCGGGTTACCCACCCAGCCCGGAGGCCATTGAATCTGCATCTCCCCCCATAGCCCAATCTATTCCTTTTATAGAGGAGACCCAGGGAGGTTACCCGATTTTCCCGGTGACAAGCAGTGAGTTGGGACAGCTCCTCCCGACGAGGATGACCACCTCATTCCAGTTGGCGTGGCACCCTTCCGCTCCGAGACCGGCCAGTCCCGTGGCCCTCTCAGTCCCAAGCAAACGGGGACGGTTGGCCGTCCTACCTCTCACTTCCCACCCTTCTTCCCCACCAAAAAATAAATAAATAAAATAAGTAAGTGAAACTTTTAAAAACTTAAAGCCGAGTTCTGCTGACCTAAGAGGCCATCCGTCGCCCAGCCGGCTTGCGGGGCCAGACACTGCAATTGTCATCATCCTAGTTTCTTTGTCCAACAAGAGGTGCCCTGTGCCACCCTCCGAGGAGGGGCTGGGTGGGGCTGCCATTCCAGGTTTCCTGGGCCCCGCCCCGACCCCAGGCCTGGTGACACCTGGCCCTCGAAGGGGCCCGGTCCCCGCTGACAGCAGCGTGCTGCTGCCTGGCTGCCAGATGGCAGGGGCCGCCTCTGTTCGTGATTAGGTGGCGGACTGCGTTCGGAGCCCGGCGAGCCAATGATGAAAGCTGTGAGAAGGACATTGTTATACGCCTTTTCATAGGTTCCCAAGTAAATATTACACTCGCTGCTGCTTGAATTACTAATGCCTTGGAAAGGGAGGCCGAAATCTGTTCCCAAACAGACTCTTCTTTTTTTCCTGTCACCTAGGCGCTGAGCGGTGTTGTTGAATTGTTTTCCCGGGCTCACCCGAACTCACAGCTCGGGATGGAGCGATCTTGGCACCCGGGGAGCCCAGATTCACGCAGCCACCTCGCTCCAGCCTCTCCGCACTAGCTCCTTATCCGGCAGGCAGGTGACCCCCAAATCCTGTGATGTCACTGCCGAAAAGGGAGCCGTGCAAAGGCTGCCATGGCTCCACTGTGCCTCTCCAAGGAGACTCTGCTGTGAACAGACAACCTCAGGCACTAAAGGACCCTGCTGGACATGCGACCTCCGGGGACCCTTAAGTTCTTCCCCGGGCCTCCTGGAGACGCCAGGGCAAGGGCTCCGGGTCCTTACTGACTTTATTGTGCTTATAAAAGCTAGTAAACAGATGGTTTGGTTTAGAGAAAATATGCAGCCAGGGTTATTAAATAGGAAAAAAAAAAAAAAAAGGAAAGAAAGAAAGTAGAAGAATGAGGAGAGGAAAGGGAAAAGCAAGAAGGCTTGTCCACAGCAGGAATGGTGACAGATCGTAAATCCCTGTGCCGCCGGCCTGCGTGTGCCATTGGTCGGAGTTCCCCGTCCTCGCCAAGCCAGTCTGTCCCTAAAGCAGCCCTGACAGGATCCGTCTCAAGTATCAAGCGCACTCCACCCTCCTCACCAGCCTCCCTCCACGTCTGTGACACTCTGCTCAGACGAGTCTGGTGGCACCTGGGGCAGAGGTGGCAGAGGAGGCGTTTGCCTCTGTCCTTTGCTGCGGGGGCTGGTCACACCGCAGTTGGCCCCGACGGAGCGGACCCGGCCGCAAGGGGAGGGACGGCGAGCAGTCTCGGAGAGCTCCCCGGAGCAGGAGGAGCCGAGACCGTGGGCCTCCTGCCGCACAGGGCGGGCGCTGGGGGCCAGGGCCTGGCTACGTACCTGGTGGGGACCTTGGCCGGAATAAAGCCGCTGGCCCGCGTGGCCCTGAGACCTTCCTGTGGGGAAAAGCCCAGGACATGTGATCTCAGGATTGAACCACAGGATGAAGATCCAGGCGAGGAGGGGTGAAGGTCCCTCCTACACACTCTAGGAGCCCCCTTCCCACACACTCAGCATCTCCCTGAGGGTGACGGCAGGGGTGCCAGGACTCAGTGGGTGGGGGCAAAGGGAGAAGAGAGAATTGCGATGTGGCACAACATTCCAACCCAGCTCCAGGGGGAACCTGCCCCGCATCTGAGAGAGAAAAGCCATGTGAGAGCAAAAGCGAGGACATGTAAATCCTGGGTCTACAGGAAACTGGGAGGAGCAAGGCTTACGTGCCTGGGATCTTGTGCAAGGGTCCCAGAACTTCTTGTCCCTCTTACTTCAGCTAAAGCAACATGTGCAGAAACAGGGAGAGGACAGGGCTGGCAGGCTGCTGGGAGGGAGCCACAGGCAGGTGCTGGCCGCGGAGAGCCATCAAGGTCAGCGCAGGGCGGGGCCGAGGGTGGGCCGGGGGAGCCACTCCACGTGTGGCCCACAGGCCTGGCTTCGTCAGCTTGTCACTCCAACAAAATAAGTTCAGAAATCAAGAGTAAGCACAGAGAAGCTTCTATACGCCTTTTTCCCTGGCTAGATTTTTCCTATTAAATTTTATGAAATGCAACATTGTGACCATTGAACCTAATAAGAAAGAAGAAATGCAGGTTTATATAGTCGGGCCTCCTTCCGTATCCCCAGGTTCAGGAATCAAAGAAAAAGTTATGTGGTTGCTGGCATGCACTATGTAGTTGGGCCTAAAGTGGCTGTGTCCGTACTGGACACATAGACTTTTTTCCTTGTCATTGTCCCCTAAACAATACAGTGTAACAATGATTTACACAGCACTTACACTGTATTAGAAATATGAGTAACCCAGAAGTGATTTATAGCATACAGGAAGATGTGTTTTGGTTATATGCAAATGCTATGTCATTTTATATAAGGGACGTGAGCATCCTCGGATTTCGGAATCCAAGGCATTTTGGGGAGGCGGTGTACCTGGAACCAATCCCTGCAGACACTGAGGAACACCTGAACTTTATACTGCTTATGTTTCTTCTATTTCATTTTCCCAGGTACGTCATAGCTATTGTGTTTCACAGAGGCGGTAGTCTGCGCTCGACTAGAGATCTTAAAAGCTAGTCCTCTGCAGGTAGTTTGAGACGCGCTGGCCAAGGGGACATAAAGCACCAAGAACTGCTCCCTTCCCCCACTGCACCAGAAAGAGCGAAAGCCCTGCACCCGCAGAGCCCCAGGCCGACCCCCACCATGGGGACG